ATCATGTTAAACTGACAGCTTAAGATGTAAATATAGTGAAAATAAAATCAAGAGTATAAAGTATTACATTCATAGTCCTGGTACTTAATGTTGCATGCACTGCACAAAGTGAATGTCTTCCTCAGTATTTTAGTTTAAACTGACAGCTTAAGATGTAAATAAAATGAAAATGAAATCCGAGTATAAAGTATTGAATTTACAGTTCTGGAATTAAATGTTGCATGCACTGCAAAAAGTGAATATCTTTCTCCTTACATTAGTTTTCCAATACAGACATCCTTGAATCAATATGCATTTATTTGAGATGCAAAATGAAGAAATTAAATGTTGATTTCTTAGAAAGTGAACAATATTAAGTGAGTTTACACTTTAATCATGAACAAATATGTGTGTATAAAATGTACTTTTGCATTTGAATAACAAAATAAAAGGCCATTGGCAGCTTTTTGTACTTATTTAAATCATAAACTGTCAAAGAAGTTAATTAATAAATAAAAATATTTTTTCTAATGGATGGACAATATTAATACTTTTTAGTATACATTGATAGTTAATAAATAGCATTTATAGTAGATCTGTATGCACTCAATCAGTTTGATTAGATCTAAAGAGAAATCTAAAATTATTCAATATTTTAATTTTTAAAAGCAGATTTATTCTAAGCGTAAGCTATATTTGTAAAATACTTTTTTTTAAAGTGGAGATTCGTACAACGTGCAAACTTTAAAGTGTTGCTAATATAACCAATTAATTGTTTTGCCACCTATTGACCTTATTCTACAAAGCAGAAGTGTGCTGGTTTTTGTGATTGTTTTAGAACTTCCGATTCAGTTGCCTATGGGAGAAATGACTAGGAGTAATAAACATAAAAATACTTGCTCTACAAACAAGTGTGTTCATGACTATACAGTATACAGTACAGTATAGTAGAATAATAATATAAAAACATCAGTTTGCAAAATCAATCAGCATAATGAGCTGTTTTTAACATCTAAAAATAAATGGAAGTGAATGAGACCTGAAGACTCCAGCCAAAAAGATTCAAATGACTGCGACCACACTTGCGTAAAGAATAAGGGCAATAAAGTTACATTCAGCTAACATTGATGTATAATGTTTCCTTCATATTATTGATAAAGTGTTCTTTATTTGATCTTAAATTAGTCCTAGTGTCTTACATTTACAGCCATAAACCTCTATGATGAAAACCCTATTTATTTTGCATACACTGTAAAACCCAAAAAGTTAAGGTAACTCAAACCATTTAAGAAAACGATTGCAGCAAACCATTTAAGTTCAAAAACTTAAATCCTTATGAGTACTTTGTATTTAATCCATTTGAGTAAATGAAGCACAGTGAAACCCAATAAATGAAGACAACTCAAACCAACTGAGTACTGTAAAACCCAATAAGTTAAGGCAACTCAAACCGTTTAAGGAAACCGATTGCTACAAACAATTTGAGTAAAAAAAAAACTAATCTATATCAGTACTGTGAACCTACTTCATTTAAGTTGAAATAATGAGGTATTTAATTAACTTGTTACCTTCAACACTGAGTTAAAAACTTTTTTGAAATTCGGTTGAAGTCAGAATTATTAGCCCCCCTGAATTATTAGACCGCTTGTTTATTTTTTCCCCAATTTCTGTTTAACGGAGAGCAGATTTTTTCAACACATTTCTAAACATAATAGTTTTAATAACTCGTTTCTAATAATGGATTTATTTTATCTTTGCCATGATGACAGTAAATAATATTTTACTAGATATTTTTCAAGACACTTCTATAGAGCTTAAAGTGACATTCGAAGGCTTAACTAATTTAATTAGGTTAACTAGGTAGGTTAAGGTAATTAGGCAAGTTATTGTATAACAGTGGTTTGTTCTGTAGATTATCGATCAAAAATTTAGCTTAAAGAGGCTAATAATTTTGTCCCTAAAATGGTATTTAAAAAATGTAAAACTGCTTTTATTCTAGTTAAAATAAAACAAATACGAGTTTCTCCAGAAGAAAAAATATTATCAGTCATACTGTGAAAATTTCCCTGCTCTGTAAAACATCAATTGGGAAATATTTAAAAAAGAAGAAAAAAGGGGGCTAATAATTCTGACTTCAACTGTAAGTAGAAGTAACTTTCAGTAAACTTTGAGTTAACTACACTCATTTCCTTTATTAAAGTTGACTGTTGGATTTTACAGTGTAGGTTTATTGAAACTGTTTATACTAACGTTTTGTTTTAGGCTGGAGTTTGATGCCTACAGGAGCGACCTGGAGGAGCTGAGTGCGGGTCCGCGGGATGCTGCAACCATGATGCGCATAGAGATAGCTCAACAACAGTACCAGATTCAGAAAGACAAGTATGAACGGCTGCACAGTGATGTCACTATCAAACTCAAGTTCCTGGAGGAAAACAAGGTACCCTGTTGACATGCACTGTAGTTTTTCATCAGCTCTGTTTCAGACATCGGAGATATTGCATGGTTTAGTTTTGCTTTCTTCACACTTCTCTTCTGTTGTTTTCCAGGTAAAGGTGATGCACAAACAGCTCCTGCTGTTTCATAATGCCATCTCAGCATATTTCGCTGGAAACCAGCAGCAGCTGGAACAGACTCTCAGACAGTTCAATGTGAAGTTGAAGCCCCCCGGTTCTGACAAGCCATCGTGGCTTGAGGAACAGTGATCGATTTGTCCACGTGAAGAGACACTCAAAGAGGGAAACAGGATGGTGGATGGACGGGGATGTAGCAAGATGCTTTAAATGTGATTCGTGTGAATGATGAAAGATGTAGATGTTTTTATGTTGCCAAACCCCGTTTTATTCAAAGCCGTAAAACCTACAGATGAATATTAAAGGGATAGTTCACCCAAAAATGAAAATTCTGTCATCATTTACTCACCCTTGACTTGTTCCAAACCTGTTAGAGCTTTTGTTGTTTTGTTGAGCGCTAAAGAAGATATTTTGAAGAATGTTGAAAACTTGTAACCATTGACTTCCATTGTAGGAAAGACGAATACTATGAAAGTCAATGGCTTGCAACATTCTTCAAAATGTTGTTGTCCAACAGAGCAACAAAAGCTCTAACAGGTTTGGAACAAATTTTCATTTCTGGGTGAACTGTCCCTTTAGGTTCTAGCCAAATGGCTAATGAAAACTAACTGTGGATCTGTTTTACAGCTGCCTTAACTTACTTATAGGTATATTATATGGGCTGGTCAGAAAACAAAAACATAAAACAATCATATCACTCACTTTCTGTGAAAACATAAACATTTTCTTAGGCATTCTTAGTCATGTTCACCAAACTGTTCGGTATCCAGTGAACCACCTCGCAGGCCAAATGATATAATGTGTTATCCTCATAGAGTAGAGCTGAAAGAAATGAATGTTGTGCTTATGTGTTTGTTTTGAAATATGAGGTCATTTGGACGAAGATTGCATCAAGGTATTGGAATGACAGACAAGTTACTCAAGGTATGTGTCATAAGAAGGCTAATATATTTATATTTATGTAAAGTGTGCAGTTCCACCTATGAAATTAAAACGCATTTGAAGGCGAAAGAATCTAATGAGTTTGTGTTGTGGTGTGTGACTTGTCTTGCATGTCTGTTTTTAATGCCAGATGACAGACAAACTGATTTTTGAACGGCGTCTCCATAGTCTACCAGTAGCATCTGCTACAAGTCAGGAAAGGAAATAAGTACAAATGGATCAGACATGTTTTTTGTAAGAAATGTAAAGCTTTCGTATCTGTAAGGAATAGAAGAACTTTGCTGGTTTGTTTTAACAAGAATTTGCACATAGATTTATTGTTCATGTTACACAATTTTTTGATATTGATTCAACAAATATGCCTAGTCTAGCAGCCTACTTTTTGGAGACAGTATTGACACAGACTTTCTTCTTAGATAAGAAATATTATATGTAATTTGTACTTTCATATGTCAAGCATGAAAACCTTTTTAAAAGTCTAATACTGTATAACTTCCCGCTAATATGTTAGAATGTGTCTTGTCTTTTTGAGAAATATATTATAATTATCTCTAATATTTTTACTTTAATACTATGATTAATATAGTATTTACATAGATTTTTATGTTGCCAAACCCTGTTTTATTCACAGCCGTAAAACCCACAGTTGAATATTAAAGGGATAGTTTACCTCAAAATAAAATATTCTGTCATTTACTCACCCTTGTCTTGTTCCAAACCTTTTATAGCTTTTGTTGTTCTGTTGAGCACTAAAGAAGATACTTTGAACAATGTTGAAAACCTGTAACCATTGACTTCCATTGTAGGAAAAACAAATACTATGAAAGTCAATGGCTTGCAACATTCTTCAAAATATCGTCTTTTGTGTTAAAGTATGAAAACCTTTTCAAAAGTATAATATAACTTCCCCCTAATATATGGGAATGTTTCTTGTCTTTTTGAGAAATATATTTTAATTATTTTTAAATGTTTTTACTTTTATACTATGATTTACTTAGTATTTACATTTTTTTTTTTTTTATGTTGCCAAGCCCTGTTTTATTCAAAGCGCTTTATACAGAGGAGACGCACTATAATACACTAAAATTCTATTAGTTTGTGGCAAAGTCCAGGTCAAAATAAGTACATTTATGCGGTTTTATTGTTACATAATACACAAAATAAAGAAATGAATAATATTTCATCCGTATGTTGACATCTCATTTTACCAAAAGTAGTTTGAATCTTTAAATTGACATTTATAGATTTTTGCTGATAAATGTATGATGATTAAGCTATAACAATTCAATTAATCCAGTAATATATCCTAACTATTTGTTAGTATCTCTATTCTCTTTGTTAGCATTAAAAATGTGGTTTTCTAACTGTAGAAATCAATCATAAATATTTAACGAGATATAGAGTGAGGCGTTTTATGATTGATTGCAAGTAGACAACACAAGAATTCTAGCAGCCGATGAGTTTGAAACATTTCCACCGTATTAACTCGTGATTAAAAGTGCCAAACTGAAACTGAAACATTCTCAATTGTACAAAAAAGCGGGACATTTCTGACTTTAACGTTGGTGGTTGTTAGTGTCGGCTAAGTTTGGTAAATACCCATTCATGTGGTACTTTTTCTAAAATCTAAACAGGGATGACACATGCTCGCTTGCGTCTGAAACAAGAGGTGACGAGTTCTGGGCGTGAGCTACAGGTAAAGAGAGCAGACGATTGCAACATCAGTCTTTCTTCCGCAGGACGGCTTAACGTTACTGTCCATTTACCAACAGCCCCGTGTGACTGAAACATGGAGCATACGTTTCTCCTATGGAGTATATAGCGAAAGTTTATTTGGGTTCATCAGACGGTCGTTGGATACATCTTAAATGAGTAAGTTTTTAAATTAATTTCAAATGCTAAAAAAGTACCACGATGACAGGCTACCATAAAAAAATGTCATGGACTAACATTGTTAATGTAATATATCACTTTGTAGCACAATTGAAATCGCATAAAAATATATACAGTATATATGTGTACGCATAACATAATGGTTGTAGGCTAGATGTGAATGCAATCATCATACGGTTTTTTAAAGCTTCAAAACATGAATGTGTGAAATTATATTTTGGTTTAGTCTTACAAAAATGCTGTGAAAGTATCATGGTTCTGTGGTGAGCACATATAAAACCCCGTTTCTACAGATATATTAATGTATAACATTTTTTGCAACATGCTTATTGTGGTAGTCGTTTCATGAGAATGTGGTATCAAAATATAATAATTTCCCTCCTAAATATGTTTGTAAAGGTACATTTTATTTACAAATTCACTTCAAGAATGCCTGGCACTCCATACTAGTATCATTCAATGTTACTAATATGTAATTATGTAACATTTGACAATCTTTTAAAAACATTTCATATTTTCATTGTCCTGCTCTTGTTATCTGCTCAGCAATTCTTAGGACCTCGAGTTTCTCCATTAACTTCCCTACCCTACCGGTCCTTCCCTTTTCAGCTAGGCAGCAGCATTATTAAACATACTGTAAAAGAGACAGCTTCCATATGCTTTCATTTTCCACATTCTTTGTTAATTATTGACCTAATGTACCCTAGCTAACTTTAATTAACAATAACCACTGCAGTGCTTCATTTTCACACACTTCATTTTCAATTCTTTTTTTTTTCTTGTAAATTTTTTTATATGATTTAAAGGGTCTAAGCTATCATGAACTAATAATTACCTGTTGAAGTATTATTAACTAAGGTAAAAAAAAATAAATAAAAAAAAAACAGCACCTGCATATATTAACATCGTTTTTAATACAGTTACCAAGTTGGTGGTTAATTCCGCTGTGGCAACCCCAGATTCATGACTAAGCCAAAAAGAAAATGAATGAATGAATAAATAATAGTGTTTCCATATAGATTCATTACTTGTTCTTTCTTTAAAGGAATGATGCAGAAGTGTGTTTGCAAGTGACATCCGAACCATGACTCCACCACCACCACCACCTCCTCCGCCGCCTCCTCCTCCTCCACCACCCCCTCCACCTCCTGCCCCATTCCCTGGTGGCGGCCAATTCACAAGAGGTCCAACACGGGCTTCTACAATGCGTAATTTTAATTGGGAGCCCATACCTAAGAACAATGTGCTGGGCAAAACTAACATCTGGACTGAGAAGAACAGGGAGTTTGAGTTGGACACCAAAAGAATGGAGGAGCTTTTCAGCCGCGTCGACCAGAAACAAGTCCAGAACTCAAACCGCCGAAGTATACGCCAATCTCCAACCAATGCCCCTGGAAATGAAATGGTGAGTTCAGGTGAAATGTACCAAAAAGTTGTTTTGTACAGTGTTTTTCTAGACTCTTTTCAACAGAGGGATGCTGAACATATCTGTCTGCATAAAAGTACGTGTCACTGGGTAGGGTTTGTGATCTCAGCACTGTAGAGATGACTTTTAGTTAGTTGTAACCTCACCTTACTTAATGTATTCTGTTTATTTTGGGCTATATAATCATTACTGTAGTAATGATTACAGCGCTGAAGGTGATTCGGACTTCACATGTTATCTGGCCGAATGCAGGATGTGCATGTGGTAATAGCTAGTTTTGCATAAGCCGTTTCTTTATGGTCCGTTATCATCCATGTACTCTACTATCACAGTAATTCTTTCTTCAAAAGCAGTACCTGCAGTTGTTGCTATAAGGAGCTAATTCTACCTAATTTAACTCTTTGGGCCCTATTTTAATGATCTAGGTGCAAAGTCTAATGTGCAAGGCGCAAAAGCATTAATTGCATGTCCGAATCCACCTCTGCTATTTTAAGGATGGAAAAATACGGTTTACACAGCGCATGGTCTAACAGGGTTGTGCTTATTCTCTTAATAAATTATGGGGGTGTTTTGAGCATAACGTGCATTTAAAAGTCTTATCTCCCATTCCCTTTAAGAGTCAGTTTCATCACGCCATGGAGCATTTGCTATTTACATGGATTTTGTAAGTGGAAAAACTGAATGCTTCACTAGCAAGAACAGTTAAACAGACCATCTGCAGCGTGAAGATAAAGAACGAGCCTCCTTCATTCGCCCTCTTTACTTTCTCTTTACTTTTACTCCTTTACTTTCGTAGAGTAATTAAACGGTTGAAACTCACTCCACTGAAGACATCCATTAGCCTACATATTTAATTTAAGCCCCTTTCACACATACAGACCTTTCCGGAAAATTGCCGGCAATTTATGTATGTGTGAACAGGTGTGAACTTTTTGAAAATACCGGTAAGTTCGTTCTGGCTATTTTCCGGAAAGAGAAGTTGTAACATTACCGGCAATTTGCCGGAATGCTGCGCTGTGTGAATGCAGATGGAAGATTGCCGTAATAAGCGCGTGCATGTCTAGAACATGCTGACGTGAAACGTCTGCTTAAGCCAATCACAACAGTCAGACGCATTTACGTCCGCGTGGTTTGTGAGAATAAAAGCCTTTGAATATTTTTCCAGACACATTTAGCTGCTAGAAGATAGTCAGGTCACGTTTATATGTTCTTCTTAATGCCAACTGTGTAAATAATCATCGATGAGATGCTTATGATAAGCCGTTGTTTGTTTACCTTCAAGCTTTGCGTGTGCCTGTGAAACAGCCTGTGAGCGCCTGCACACGCACATATTATGAACATCTCAACATGCGAAAGTGATCCTGCGAAAGTTGTTCACAATATTGATCATCCACAGAGTTTGTAATTTAGTCAAATGTTTACAAATACAAGCGCAGCCGTTTAAAGCTCATTTGTGGTGAATGATGTCAGATTTTACCGGTATTTTGGAATGGATGTGTGAATGCTTTTTTCCGGAAAATTTCCGTAACGTCCTCGCCTGTGTGAACAGCGCTTTTTTGAATATACCGGTAAAGTTGTTCTGGAAATTTTCCGGATATTTACCGGTATCACTGTGTGAAAGGGGCTTTAGTTTGATATGTGCAAAGATTTGTTTAAAAAATATTTCTAAATTCAGTTCTAATTTCTAGCAAACGAATAGATGAACAATAATAACAAAGGTCCCACTTTATATTAAGTGGCCTTAACTAATATGTACTTACATAGGAAATAACAGTTTGTTGCAATGTACTTATTGTGTAAATACATGTATTTACTATGTACTTATTCTTGATTAAATACATGTATGTAACTACATCTGTATTTAACTTTTGTAATTACATTTTTAAATACACTGTTGACCATCCCTTACACCTTAACCCACCCTTAAAACCTACCCATGCCACAAAACCTGTCCATAACCCAACCTCTATCCCAACTCAAAAGCACCACAAGTGTTCTCAAATACATTATAAACACAGTAAGTACATTGTATTTATTTTTTTTATTGTAAGTACATACTAGTTAAGGACACTTAATATAAAGTGGGACCATAACAAAGTGAGGTCAAAAAATACCACAAATAATAAAGATGCATACAGTACGTCTCCAAAACCCGACAGGTGGACAAATCTAAACTTGTTTTTATTCAAACATATATAAATATACATATAATAAATAAAACTTATCATAATAGTAACATTATAAAAATGCAAATTGTCATGAATGAGCTGAAAAAGCTCCCCGAGATGAAGCATGGAGGCAGTGGTCTTTATATTTGTATGATAGGGCCCTTTTATTTAGTGTTTTTTTTTTTTTTTTGGTGTAACCAAATGGATTTAGTAGACCTAAGCTAACATGAAATAAAACATAGTAAATAAAGATGAATAAATATTTAAAGAAATGCATTGCTCATTGTTAGGTCATTTTAGGTAACTAACTAATTGAAACAGATTGTGAAACAGTCACGCTTCACGCTAAAGAGAATTGGGCACCTTTACCCCTTCATGTGAACTAGCAAAATGAGGGGTAAGGGGAAGGGCCAAGGGTTAGAATTGGGATTGGGTCTATATTTGTCATTATCATTTTACTTTTTAGAAAGTTTGTTTCATTACATGTTAAAATCAACAAAAGATGGTTAGGTAATGTTTACCGTTTTTTTGTTGTATCATATTGTAAACAATGTTTTATTTGCTTGTTTAAACACTAACTTCTGCCAAAGAAACATAATACAGAACTAACTAGTAACTATTAATATCTATCAGATGGTAAAAAATAAGTTTTTAGTCTGATTTTTAACCGGGGCCTGTGTGTTTTCCAGAAAAATCCCATGTTTTGAGTCATTTGGAAAGTTTTTAGTTTTTTATTGATTTACTCATGATTCATAAAGCCAGAAAAAACATCCTACAACTAGATTGAATGTAACTTTCTCTGCAAATATTACTTACAGTCATTCAAAAGACAATGCTGTGACATTCATGCACTTTCCGCTTGACTATGTCTGTCCTTTGATCTGAGCTCTTTTTAAAGGTGGAGGCATTTCTTCTTTTCTGTAAGTGTTTACAAAAGGCGGACTCCACAAATATGAACTAACTTACATTTGGAAAAACACTGTGATGCACAACAATTTTACAACAGTTGAATCACATCATCACAACATTCTGGTGATTGTTCTTAAAGCAAGAAATGAATGGCCACGGTTGTTGTATGTAAATCATCATTCATTAATCATAGCTGAACAAGGATAAAACAATAATACAACCTGTGAACGTGTGTGTAAACAGAAGGTAATAATCTAACTAAAAAATCAAACTGTCCAAATAATGCTTTTTTTCTGTTGCCAGGTGTCCATTCTCAATGCCAAGAAGAGCATGAACATTGGTATTTTCCTCAAGCAGTTCAGAAGGTGAGTGTGTACCTTGATGAAGTATTAATGAAAGCTCTCCATTTCAAACAGATTTTAGGGTGGAAACGTACAGGAGTCATGCCGATAGATTGCTCACATGTCTCTGCAAGCCAAATGAATTTTTTTTCCTGACAACATCAGGCAGCCCATATCTTTTTCTGCCAGAGTACAGGCATGGAGATAAGATGGGCTTTGCATTATTCCCATCATCAGCAGTTCTCTTAATCATACAGTGTTTCTCATCGGATATTGATTAGTTGATTGTGACAGTTCAACACGTGTTGCTAAATACATCAGTTCAACAGCTAGAGCTTGCCAGACCAGTTTTAGTGCGAGTGTATACCTCTTAAAAAAGCAAGATGGGGCTTGTCTAGTTCTGGTATTTTTTATGTTTGGCCAAGAAGTGGAGATTAAGTGCATGAAGCAATCAGAGCAAGGTGAAGTGTGACTCAGAGTGTGGAAGTCAATGCTCTGGCCACTTCCTCTGTTACGTTTTTAATGATGGACTACTGGATGTGTCACTTACATTAGAGAACAATGTTCAAGTTTGAATTGACTTTTACAGAGGATATGGTGTTTTTAAAACTGTTTTTAAACATTCCCCCATTGACTATTGGTGAGACTAAAACAGGTAGTCCCACCCCCCAAACTCACGCCATTGGTTGAGTCACTCACTGTTGCTGTGTTGAACTGCTCAAACAAACAATGTTGATATGCCACAGAACTGCAGAATTTACACTTCTGAGAAATGAACCTACTAATGTGTGTTGTCGCTACACATTAAAGGAATGGTTCACTAAGGTTTCGTTTAGCTATGTGAACATAAACAACATCTCTCAATGTAAAACGTGCAAAGTTTAATGCAAAGGGAGACATTGGCATTTACAGAGTTAGCTTAGCAAAGCCTACAGCTAACGAAGTTTGGGGACTACCAAAAAATACTTTCGGGCTAGTGAGGTCACAAGCACTTCAGCATTCCCCATGCGCACATACCCCGCGCAGCAACATTTCGTAGCCAGAGGCGCTGTAACTCTGTAATTTAGCAGAGAAAGCTAAAATGGCATCCAAATGCAGCTATTTTCACACAGCTTGTTTTGTTTCTTTATTTTGGCTATTAACAGCTACTCTGATTACACTGCACAAAAACGTGTGCTTAAAGGCATGTGACTTTTTTTCTGGTGACGTGGAGCAGAATCACAGCACATTATGTTAGCTGACCAAGCAGAGCCTCTTGTAGACGGGCCTTTTAGAGGAACTAGGAATCATGACAGTCGTGTTCATGTTAGCTGAGTAGCTGTATATAATCAAAGTAAGATATATGAAAAAATAATTTCATTTTCTACAAATGAAGCATGGGCACACATTGCTTTGCATCTTACAAACACAATCTGGCCTTAAAAATACACAGGCCATAAAAAGACCTCCTCTTTAAACTAAGAAACTAGTGCATCGCAAATATGACAATTCTGTCATCAATACAAACTTGTACTATGGTATTTAAAAAATTTTATGGTAACCAAATGGCTACAGTTTACATATCTATTTGACCGCACTGGAAGTCAGTGGTCTATTTAGGTCTGCCATTCTTGAAAACATGTTTGCTTGTTTGTTTTTGTTTTTTGTTTACACATGGTATTAAGAATCATTTCAGCCAATGGATCTCAAGTAAAAGTAAAAATCCACTATCATCAAAGTTGATCCAATTCAAATGTTGACTGCTGCTTTCTATAAATGCTTTCACTTTTAAATCTACCTTTAACAAATAACTTATTTATTCATTATTATTATTATTTATTCATTAATATTTTTTTTTAGGTTTGTTCCTTTATTCATCAGGGGTTGCCACAGCGGAATGAACTGCCAACTCATCTAGCATATGTTTTACACAGCAGATGCCCTTCCAGCTGCAACCCAGTACTGGGAAACATTCATACACACACATTCACACACTTCTACGGGCAAGCCAATTCAGCTATAGCGCATGTCTTTGGACTGTGGGGGAAACTGGAGCACCTGGAGAAAACCCACGCCAACACGGGGAGAACATGCAAACTCCACACAGAAACACCAACTGACCCAGCTGAGTCTTGAACCAGCTACCATCTTGCTGTGAGGCGACAGTGCTAACCACTGAGCCACCGTGTCGACATTATTATTATTATTATTATTATTATTACTATTGTATAATGTTTGTAAGGAATCATGAGGGATTAAATATTCTGTATGATACTGGCAAAAATCCAGTTCCAATTTATTTCTGGTAAATCTGAGATTTTGTTACCCCTGAAATAGTGTGAGTCCTGATCCTGTGATTCTACCACTTCTAGCTCTTTCTTTTTTTCACAGGTCAGTGAATGGAATGATTGAGGACATAGTCAATGGCAGAGGTGACAAATTTGGACCTGGGAAACTGAAGGAGATGTGCAAACTGCTGCCAGAGGAAGGCGAGGTGAGATGTACTGTGGGGAAGAGGGCCAATGATACAGTCAAAACTATTAGCCCTCCTGTCAAATTGTGTTTCTTTTTCAAACATTTCCTGTGACGTTTAACAGAGCAAGAATTTTTTTCCTAAAAGATAAATTCCTCTGAAGAAAGTCTGATTTGATTTAGCTACAATAAAAGCAGTTTTTATTTTTTTTAAACCATTTCAAAGTCACTATTATTTGCCCCCTTAAGCAATATATTTGTTTCGATTGTCTACAAAACAAACCACTGTTATACAATAACTTGCCTAATTACCCTAACTTGCCTAGTTAAGCCTTTAAATTGAACTTTAATCTGACTACTAGTACTAGTAATATTAGTATATTGAAAAATATCTAGTTAAATATTATGTACTGGAATCACAGCAAAGATTTTTCGAAGCTTTGGCACTAACCGATACCATTACACAGCATTCAAGAGCCTGGTTAAAATGTAAAGCTACTCCACTTGTGTTTGTCTGGTAGATCAAAGTCATATACACTACAGGACATCACACACCGGATGCGCCGCTTAGCGTTGCGTCACGGTGCGCACATGACAGTTGAAAGTATCGCACACCAGACGGGCACATTCGCATGCTATTTAAAATTAAAATAATCAGTCGGCGCAACAGAAATATGAACAGTGTCCTGAGTCGTGGCTGGGCGCTGCCAACAGCTGCTGACCTGAGGCGCCGGTGTGTGTACCCTGATAGAAACCTATGTGTAGAATTCTAAAATGCATGGCGCTGCGTGGCGCATCGCAGAGCAATGCTTCTGGTGTATGTCCCTCTTAAGGGACCGATCACACTGAATAAGATTTTTGCGTTGAAAGGCGCCTTTTTTGAATGGTTTACTAATGACTGTAAGTGTTGTGCGTGCTGCTTATGTGCCCTGCGTGCCTCGCTTTTTAACCGCCTGCTTCGCCTCGCATTTTTGCCCTTGCACGTCGTGTGCTCACAGTTGGAAAAAAGTCGACTCTGAACGGAAAAAAACGTGTTGCGCAGTCGCGTCTTTTCCATCTCCAATCAAATGAAAGCAGAGGTGGGGTTTCCGTTGAGGTGCCTGCAGTGTTTGTGTTGTCAAGACAACAACAGAGACTTTTTAGGATGAAGGAGAGACTTATGGTTGCTGTTTTGAGTAATCCAGTGCTGTACAATATGACTCACAAATCTTGAATATCACAATATTATTAAATATTAATATTACATTTATATCAACAGCAACTTTCGCAGTCAGTCAGTCAGTTTTTATTCATTTCTCGAAGGCATTTTGGTTGCATATAACACATAATTCACAAAAGCACATTATACAATTTGTTTTATTAATAGGAGTTCTATATCGAATACCAGAAGGTGGACGATAAAAACTCGTGGTGCATAGGATGGGGATCATCTGACAGAATACTCTGAGCTTTACTCAAAACTTGTCTATGGAATAACTGAGCCATGGTCATCTGCTTTCTCCCTATTATTTATGCAGCTGATTCAGACATACAAAACGCACTCTGCTTTTTTTTCTTGTCTATAAAAAGTCAGTGTGGTGTGCCTCACATTTTTTGGAATGTAAAGGCGCGTTCGTTGTGATCAACCCCTAAGGATGGCTCTAGGGCCATACATTTTTCCAAGGGGCCACATTAGACTCTGGAGTGGTTTTAGAGGGCCAGACTAATACAGTTAATCTGTAAAAAAAAAAAAAAAAACATTCAGTGAAACTATTCAATAAACATTTATAAAAACTCTAAAGTTTTAAAAAGTATTTTAAATACCAGCATCACAAAATCAACTTCATATAAATCCCACTGGGTTGTTTGTTTGATTGCTTTGCCTTAGTTTATTTTTATTCATTCAGTCATATTTTTATATGTTCAGTGAGAGAATTCTAGCCTGTTTTGGGCTGAACAAGTGCACTGAAGTCAGGTTGTATGATGTGGGTATGTGATGTAATGATCATCAATGAGAGAGGATCTATATCTGGATTTGTTATATCGTTAATCTCAGGTTGTTAGTCTACCTTTGTTGTTGTGTATTTTCATACAAAGTGTGAAGCTGCCTGTTTGGTTCCTGTCACATGACTCGTGGTTCGCTCATGGCACTCGAAAATGTTTCGATTTTTCAACTCGCTACACCTGTAAAATGTGATCGTGAGCGCAAAAGAAGCTATATGTGAAAGTCCCCTTTTGTTGGCACACAATATCAGACCTACGCATTGCAAGGCCCTGTTAGCAGTTGAATTTAAATGAAGTAAATACTTCACGCGGGCCGATCAAAGTAGTCTAGTGAGCTGCAAAATGCCCAGGTCTGCTCTTGTGTGTGTAAATTGGAGAAATTACATTTTTTTATGATCTGTTTCTTAAATTACGGTAAAAAAAAGATATATATATATATATATATATATATATATATATATATATATATATATATATATATATATAGCAGCAATTTAAATTATAAACCTGAGAGCTTACTGTTCTGTGTTACCTGTTTTTTTCAGGTTCGTCAGCTTCGTGATTTTAAAGGAGACCCTTCAGTTCTCTCAGAGGCTGATCGGTTCATGGTGCAACTTGTCAAAGTACCTTGGTGGGTGTTTGCAACCACACGTACACACTTACACGTTTCATTAGACTGTCATTTGCACAGCACTGCTCATGCTTTATCTCCATCGTCACATATTGATAATCAATACATCACGGTGTGTTTGAAGGTCACTGCAATTTACTCTTAATGTGAGAGGACGTTAAATATGCCATCGTGATTATATTTATTTGTTTGTTTTTTCCTAGTTATGAGGAACGGTTGAACTGTTTAGTGCTTAAAGAGGAGTTCCCCCATTTTATGGATGAGGTCAGCCACGCTATTGCAGTCATGACCTCTGCTGGACGTGGTAAGATTAATAAAATTTAATAACTAAATCAGAATAATAACATCTGTCTGACTGTCCATCTGTCCGTCCGTTCGTTCATCCATTCTTTGGTTCTTCTATCTTTCTTTTCACCAGCTGTCAATCCACCCATCCATTCATCTGTCTATCCACACATCTCTCTGTCTATCCATCCATCCATTCATCCATCCGTCCGTCCATCCATCTATTCATCTTTTGTTTCATTTATCCATTCATCCATCCATCTTTTGTTTCATCCATATTTTGTACCATCCATTAATTCATCCATCCATCCATCCATCCATCCATCAGTCCATCTTTCACTTTCATCCATCTGTTCATCCATTCATCCATAATTTCATCCATCTACATGTTGTTCTATCTATCTATCTATCTATCTATCTATCTATCTATCTATCTATCTATCTATCTATCTATCTATCTATCTATCTATCTATCTATCTATCTATCTATCTATCTATCTATCTATCTATCTATCTATCTATCTATCTATCTATCTATCTATCTACCTATCCATCCATCCTTTGGTCCATCTAACTTTTTCTTTCACTGCCTTTTAATCCATCCAACTAATTGTCCATCCAATTATCCACCCATCTTTTGTTCCATCCATCCATCCATCCATCCATCCATCCATCCTTGGGTCTATCTATTTTTTTTCTTTTACTCTTTATCAATCCATCCATCCATGCATCCATCCATCCATCCATCCATCCATCCATCCATCCATCCATCCACCCATCCTTAGTTTCATCTATGCTTTGGTCCATCGTTCTCTTTCTTTGTTTATCAATCCATCTATATATCTGTCCATCCAACTTTTTATCAATAAATTTATTGATCTATCCATCTATCTAGGATGAACAGCCATCTGAATTTCTCTTTTAGTGTCTATCAATCCACCTATCCATATTTTGTTCCATTTATACATGCACCCATCCATACATCTTTTGTTCCTTCCATCTCTCCATTCTTTGGTCCATCTATCTTTGTCTTTCACTCTATCAATCAATTTAACCACCACCCACCCATCCACCCATCCATCCATCCATCCATCCATCCATCCATCCATCCATCCATCCATCCATCCATCCATCCATCCATCCACCCATCCACCCATCCATCCATCCATCCATCCATCCATCCATCCATCCATCCATCCATCCATCCATCCATCCATCCATCCATCCATCCATCCAACCATCCTGTGGTGTTTTGTTCTCATTCACTGCATATCAATCCATCTACTGTATCTATCATCTGTTTATCCATCCTTTGGTCCATCTATTTACAATAATTGATTAAAATAATGGTGACGCAGTGGCGCAGAAGGTAGTGCTGTTGCCTCACAGCAAGAAGGTCGCTGTGTCATTTGGGGTTTCTGTGTGGAGTTTGCATGTTCTCGTTGTTGCATGTTTCCTCCGGGTGCTCAAGTTTCCCACACAGTCCAAAGACATGTGGTACAGGTGAATTGGGTAAGCAAAAATTGTCCTTAGTGTATGTGTGTGAATGAGAATGTATGGGTGTTTTCCAGTGATTGGTTTACTGTATAAGTTGGCAGTTCATTCTGCTCTGGCAACCCCGGATTAATAAGGGGACTAAACTAAGGGTTGGCTAAATTGTCCGTAGTGTATGAGTGTGAATGAGTGTGTATGGATGTTTCCCAGAGATGGGTTGCGGCTAGAAGGGCATCTGCTGTGTGGAACATGTGCTAAATAAGTTGGCAGTTCATTCTGCTGTAGCGACACCATTTTAATAAAGGGACTAAGCCGAAAAGAAAGAAATAACGAATATAATAATAGTAGAATAACCATAATAATATATAGATAGATTTTTATTAAATACATATGCATAATAATAGTAAATGAATATTATTAAATTAATATATTATATCACAGTATGTAGTTAATAGTACATTTTATAATTATTTTATTTATTAATATAATAATTATTACTAATATGTATTACTCGTTTGATTGTTTTTTTTAGAAATGTGTAAATTCATATTAATAGAGAGATACACAGACGGACACACACACATACACACACACACATGGATACAAACACAAAAATGTTTATATTATAAGCTAGTCATTCTTTTCAATTATTCCTTTTGAATGAAAATAACAGTTGAATCATTCAAATTGCCTTAAAATACTGTAATACTGAATGATTGCATAATTATATAATTCATGACTATGTTTATTAAACTTTAAAAACCTATTAGTGCTGTATTACCAGCAATATTTTTGTATCACTGACTATTTCTAAAAACGATTTCAGTATTCTGTTAATTGATTGAATTCTGTTGGAAATGTTTTATCTGTTTGTTTGTTTTTACTTCATTTTTTACACTTTAAAACGTTAATCTTTAATGGTAGGACTTTAGTATAATTTTTTTATCACTGAGTAACTATTTTAGTTTCTTTAAAAAACTTGAATTTTTGTTTTTATTTAGATAAACTTTATTTTATTTAAAAGTTTTATTAATTGTAGTTTTTCTTCTTTTATATATAGTTGTTTATTTTGGATTGTCATTTTAATTTATGAAAATGAGAAATATTTGCATTTGGCAGGTTGCTAAATTAGGTTTAAGAGTTATATTAGATTTATTATAAGTAAAAAAAATAATCATTTTAGTTCCATAGATTTAGATAACTATAATAACCCTACATGGTTTTACTGCAATTACATGCACTTTGCAATTACATGAGTATGTTTCATTTAATTTCATTCAACTGATGTATGAAATGATTTCCAGAACTGTTGGATTGTGCTGATCTCCATTCAGTCATTCGCCTGGTCTTAAAAACGGGCAACTACATGAACTCTGTGAGTACAATCATGCACTACTGAATCTTGTTATGCTTGTTGAAAATGATTAAGGTTGGTTAACCTCAAATATTGCAATGCACTGCATATGTGTGTGTGTGTTTAGATTGTCATGAGATACTAATCTTTCTGTCTTCACTCCCACCAGGGAGGCTACGCTGGCAGCGCCGTGGGCTTTCGCATAACATCACTACTCAAACTAGCGGATACCAAAGCCAACAAGCCTGGAATGAACCTTATGCACTATGTTGTGATGGTAGCATTGATGTTTAATATCATATTGTGTTTTCAGAGCTGCGTAAGGCACTGTATTTCTATTTCAATTTGTTTCTCGTGTGTTTTGTATTTCAGCAAGCCCAGAAAATTGATGCAGCGCTGCTGAAGTTTCCAGAGCAGCTACAAAACATTGGGGATGCAGCGAGGTAAGCTATTGCTCTTTGAAACCTTCTGTTTTATCTCATTTTTTGTTTGTAGCTGTATATAAAATGCTCATAGTGCAAACATTTGGAGCTAAAATTATTTTAGGTCCATTTTAGTGTGCTTCGTATGGTTCAAAGGTGAAATGGGGTTTAAATAACAGTTTATATAATAGAAGAATACGTACAGTATTTAAAACAGATTTACTGATGATGTATTATAAAACTATATATTACTATATAACTATTATATAAATTTTAATTTGAAATCTTTATACTTTACTATCTTAAAAACACAATTTTTAATTAAATTAAAAAAGAATATTATGTAAAATGAATCTTCTGTGTATTTTTATTAATGTGGGCCATCTTTAAATATGGGCCATCATTACTGTGAACATTCACATATCAATAAGTCTTCTGTGTAATCTCATTCATTATGTTGTAGCTGCCTGAATATAAAAATGCACAAAAATTACGATAAAAATTGCAAATATCTGGAGCTAAAGTTATTTAAGCTCAATATTTGTGTTCTTTATATGGGTCAAAGGTGAAATGGGGTTCATATAACTGTTTATATAATATAATTTAGAATAGGATTTATTAATAATGTATTTTAAAAAACTACATTTAAGGACTAAACATTATAAAAATTATCATTTGAAATCTTTATACTTAAATAATAACACACTTTTTTATTTTTAATAAAAAAATAAGACCATTATGTAATATGAATATTCTGTGTATTTTTTATTAATAAATACAGGCTATGTGTACTTTTATATTTCACAAATATATCTGTTACACTGAAAAGTTCCTTAAATTACCAATAAGTCTTCTGTTTTATCCCATTCATTATGTTGTAGCTGGATATAAAACTGCGCATATTACAAAAATCTGGAGCTGGAGTTATTTTAGCTCCATTCTAGTGTTCTTTATATGGATCAAAGGTGAAATGGTGTATATACAGTTATGTCCATAAATATTTTGACATCGACACAATTCTAACATTTTTGGCTCTAAACACCAACACAATAGATTTGAAATGAAATTAACAAGATGTGCTTTAACTGCAGACTGTCAGCTTTAATTTAAATATTTCATTTAATATTGAATATTTACATCCAAATCAGGTGAATGCTGTAGGAATTACAACAGTTTGCATATGTGCCTCTCACTTGTTAAGGGACCAAAAGTAATTAGACAGAATAATAATCATAAATCAAACTTTAACTTTTTAATACTTGGTTGCCAATCCTTTGCAGTCAATTACAGCCTGAAGTCCGGAACGCATAGACATCAGATGCTGTGTTTAATTTTTTGGTGGTGCTCTGCCAAATTGTTCCAAACAGATATTTATGGACCTAACTGTATAACAATTTATATAAAAGAAAAATACACATTTATAACAGGAGCTATTAATTATGTATTTAAAAATATATATTTAAGAACAAAATATTATAATTATCATTTGAAATCTTTATACTTAACTATACCTATGAATATTCTGTGTATTTCTTTCATCAATAAATACAGGCCATCATTACTGTGTACTTTCATATTTCATAAATATATCTGTTACACTGATAAATCATTTGAAACATTAAAGTACTCACTTAACCTGCATTTCATATGCTTTTCTGCATATACACTGCAAAAAATGCTTTTCTTGCTTAGAATTTTTGTCTTATTTCTAGTCTAAATATCTAAAATTTCTTATATCAAGAAACATTTTCTAGACAAGCAAAACAAATTGTCTTGTTTTTAAAAATAAAATGCCAATATTAAGTGAGTTTTTCCTTAAAACAAGCAAGATAATCTGCCAATAGGGTAAGCAAATTAATCTTGTTTTTTTCTTATGACGTAAGATTATTTTGCTTAACCCATTGGCAGAATATTTTGCTTAACTCACTTAATATTGGCATATCATTTCTCAAAACAAGACCGTATGTTTTGCTTGTCTAGAAAATTCTTCTTGATTTAGGAATTGGTAGATTTTGGACTAGAAACAAGACAAAAATCTAAGTAAGAAAAGCATTTTTTTGCCGTGTATAAAATGACATATTTCTATTCAGCCTTAATTTATGTTTATTTTATTACAGTACTTTCGGTAATATCCGTTAGTGGCCATAGTGATGTTTCTAATATTCCTGTTTTTATTTTTAGAGTTAGTTTATGCTCTAACATTTCATTTATTATATATTTTTTGATGTTTTGACTTTAGTAAAAAAAACACATTTTAATAGTTGTATTTATAGTTAATGATACTGACTTTAAAAATAAAATGTGTTATTAACAATTCTCAATAATGTTAATATTATATGAAATTTGAAACGCAGTCATTTTCTTTTGTATGTTTGGTTTAAAAGACTTGCAATAGATCTATAACGGTTCAATTGCTGAGCTCAATAGCAATACATGATGAAAAGCCAGAAATTAGTGGAAAAATATTTTCTGTCTTCGTCAATACAGGATTCATAAGCAGGAAATTGAGACTGATTTCCAAAAGGAAATAAGTAAAGTCCAGAAGTCCAAGGAGAATGCTAGTAAACAGCCGGATCTGGAGGAACAGATGAGGGATTTTCTGCAGGTGAGGAATTTTATACGTCAACATTCTTCAAGAGTTTACCTGTGAATATGAGCAGGCATGTTTTGCTTTTAACTCTTTAGTTTCCAGAAATGCTAAAATACTACATCATTGCATTCACCAAACTGCATGAAATGCTAATTTCTAAAGAAGTTTAATTTCTGAAGAGTCCTTCCATCTATCTTTTCCTTTGCTTTTTTAGAATGCAGAGACACGAATACAGGAGATGGAGGAATCCTTCAAGATGCTTTCAGCCGTGAGTGATTCAGTGGCACAGTATTTCTGTGAGGACCCTACTCAGTTCAAACTAGAGGAGTGTTGCTCCATTTTCTACTCTTTCTGTGAGAAGTTCAAACGAGCAGTCCAGGTAATTCCCCATCTAAAGATATTACACTTAAGTGGTTGTAAACTTTAATGAATTTCTTTCTTCTGTTGAATACAAAACAAGATGTTCTGAAGAATGTTGAAAAACATGTCAAAAAACAGCCTTTGACGTCAATAGTAGGAACAAAAAATACTATGGTAGTCTACAGCCCCTTTCACACATACAGACCTTTCTGGGAAATTACCGACAATTTTCTGGAAAGGTCTGTATGTGTGAACGGGCCCTTTTTGAAAATACGGGTAAACTCGTTCCGGCTATTTTCCCGAAAGAGAAGTTGTAACATTACCAGTAATTCGTCGGAGTGCTGTGCCAGAGACTGCATTCACATCTAGAACGCGATGTCTTGAGATGTCTACTTTGGCTCAGACACATTCAAATCCACACTTTTTATAAAAATAAAAGCCTTAGAATATTTTTCCAGACACATTTAGCTGCTAGATGTTAGTCAGATAATGTTTATGTGTTCCTTCTTAATGCTAACTGTGTAAACAATTATTGAAGAAATGCTTATGATACCCCTGAAACCCCTGTTTGTTTACCTTCAAGCTCTGCTTGACGCGTGCACGTGAAGGAGCCGGTGAGCGACATCACACACATATTATGACTAACTCGACATCTGAAAGTGTTCCTTAATATGTTTTTATATAAGTTGTTTACAATACTTGATTCCACAGAATTTGTAATGTAGACAATTGTGTAAACATTTAATCGCGGTTCACGTTTCTGCCTTTGGATGTCTCACAAAGCATCTGCATAAATGCTAAAACTTTAAATAAAAGTAAAACCATTTCTATGTTTACAAATACAAGCGCTGCTGTTTATGGGTCATTTCTGGTTAATGATGTCAGAATTTACCAGTATTTTGGAATGGATGTGGGAATGGTTTTTTCTGGAAAAATGATGGAACGTCCGTGTCTGTGTGAACACCTTTTTTATGAATTTACCGGTAAAGTCATACTGGAATTTTTGGATATTTACCAGTATCACTGTGTGAAAGGGGCTAATGGCTGTTATTCTTAAGTATTTCTTCTTCGGGTTCAGCAGAAGAAAGAAAATCAAACAGTTTTGGAACAAGTGGAGAATGAGTAAACGAAATTCATTTTAGAGTGAACTATCAGAAATTAGGGAAAAAAATTAACAGGGGGGCTAATAGTTCTGACTTCAACTTTACATATATATATATACAGTATATATATATATATATATATATATATAATGGTTATATTTGACTTTAGAAAAGGTGTAAGAACTATGTTTACATGTCCTCTCTCTGCTTTAGGAGAACCTCGATCGAGACATACTGGAAGTGAAGCGCAGGCAGCGAGAGGGTTCTCAAAATGCAGCCAAGCGACGCTCCACTGCCACCTGCTCCTCACGAGACAAGGACATTGAAGGAGCTGCTTTGGAGTCCATTCTACAGAGGTTCAACAGTCGCCAGTCCCGTCGCAGAGCAGGAAATGCTTCACCCACACTAGGGAACCTTACTGACATCCTCCAGGAAAATCGTCCCGCTGACAGGGCGGTCAAAAGAGACAGTTGGATCAAAGGTGCCCTGCAATCCTCTGTGATCAAGGAGAGCTTTGAAAGGGAAGAGATGCCTAAAAACCCACAGATTACAATCTCAAGCCCGGCGCATGAAACCCCCAGTACCCCCAATTCCACAGTCAATCAGAGACTCTCGGTAACAACAGAGCAGGATGAGGATGATGTTCAGACTGAGAAGGAGGTGCGCAATATGAGAGAGGTGTCAAGGAAAGTTTTACAATACCAGTCTAGTAAAAGCAGCATTTCATCTGGCGAGGCCCTTTCACCGCTCCTGTCTCCACGCCAGACATTCTTCCAGGAAGACAGAAGACAGCTGCTCATAGTAGCCATAGAAGAAAACACTGCAAACTCCAGCTCTCTGTTGCAAAACAGCCAGATCATCAACCGCCGGCACACGATCTCACTTCCCGAAGCCAACTGTGGAAACGCCAGCCAAGAGGACATATTCGTGCCGTGCAATCTGAATGCATCTCCGGCTCCCTCTATAGATGCTATTGGGAAGGTGAAATCTTTGGATAGTGCTATACTTTCCACACAACAGAACTCTACTGTTAAAGACTCCAATTCTCAAAACGAATCACAATCCACTGAATCACCACAATTAGAAAAATCAGAGGCAAAGACTGAAGACACAGTGCCTAACATGCAGTTTAATGGTGGGAAAAGAAACAGCCAGACAGTATCCTTTAAAAGTGCTAAAGAAGGCTTTAGCTTTATGTCTTTATTTAAGCGCTGGAGGGAAAAGGACAAATCGAAAGAGCTTGATTCTGACAGTGTGGACCCATGATTTAAAAACATGTATATATATATTTATTCAGACATTCCTGCTGCATGTATGAAAAGCTAGTTTGGTACTTCGTGATGGATAATTTCCTTGTCACCTATTTAAAAAGCAGGAGTTTGAATGTGTGGAAAACAGTAAGTTTCACCTGCAGTGCTCTTTATGCAACACAAGGGGGCAGTACATGACATACAGTTGAAGTCAGAATTATTATTTCTAATCATAATAGTTTTAATAACTCATTTCTAATAACTGATTTATTTTATCTTTGTCATGATGACAGTAAATAATTTTTTATTAGATATTTTTCAAGGCACTATAGCATAAAGTAACATTTAAAGGCTTAACTAGGTTAATTAGGTTAACTAGATAGGTTAGGGTTTTTAAGCAAGTTATTGTATAACGATTGTTGTTCTGAAGACAGTCAGAAACAAAATTACCTTAAAGGGGCTAATAATTTTGACCTTAAAATGGTGTTTAAAAAATTAAAAGCTGCTTTTATTCTAGCTGAAATAAAACAAATTAGACTTTCTCCAGCAGAAAAAAATTTATCACGCATGCTGTAAAAATTTCCTTGCTCTGTTAAACGTCATTATAAATTAAATTCAAAAAGGGGCTAATAATTCTGACTTCAACTGTATATCAATGATTCAGACTGCACTGTGTCTCAAATTGTTCTCTTTTTTTTTTTTTTTTTTTTTGCCCATTTGTGATTCGAGTCTATTTTGTGACAGTCTGTGAACAGCATGAACCATCTGCAATCTGATCTTTTTCATTTTGATTTTGGCCACCTTAATACAGTATGTGGTCCTAAAGTTGATGTCACTACAGAAGATCAGTTTGTACCAGGGGTCACCAACCTTTTTAAAACTGAAAGCTACTTCTTGGGAACTGATTAATGTGAAGGGCTACCAGTTAGATACACACTTCTCAAATAACGAATTTGCTCAATTTACTTTTAATTATATGTTATTATTAATAAATAATGATATTCTTCCGCGAAGACACTGATCATGTTAATGATTTCTCACAATAGTTGTCAACAATGATTTAACACGGTAGGAAACAGATAAATATCAGTATGCAACACTTTATTTCTATAAATCTAAAGTATTTACATTTTAAAATAAGTACTTCTGCAATATTTTTACTAGCCACTAACAATTTTGAACACATCATGCACTACAATGTACCGTGTTTGTTCAGATGATCAATTGTGTAACAAAAATCAACTTTCAGATTTTACTGAAATTATCACCAAATCTACAACATTTTTAACATTCACTCTTTTAAACCACAGAAGTTGCTCCGAGTTTGACATTGGAGAAAGTGGAGTTTATAGTCGTTAGTCTTTGTTTTGCTTTTCAGTCTGAAAATGTCTTGTTCTCCTAATCAAAAAATGTATAGATCTAAACAAGGCTTCGGTTGCAGTTTTTTGAGGGGTTTTCACAGGTCTCGTGAGAAAAGACTGCTGTTTTTACAAACTGTCCTTTAATTCACTGTAAATTCCTATTACTAGAAACCTGCAACCAGATAGAAGAAGCTGAAACTCTGAGTGTAGAGGATGAGCAGTGTCACTTAAGATTTAATTTGTAATTCTCTTTAGCTGCCTGGTGTACACAGCCTCTAGATCTAGATAGCCTCTTACTGGACCAATTAACTATTTGTCTCGCTCTGCTGTCCCCATATGAAGAAAAAAAGAACTCTTTCTCCTATTCACTCTGGAAATGATCTGCCATTTCCTGCCATGTTCCTGCACCCGCAACCATTGCTGTGGAGACCGGCTAGCTCTGATCTAATATGAAATGTTTTTTAAAGTTTATATATATATATATATATATATATATATATATATATATATATATATATGTCATTTTTAAATTTACAATAATGCAAGTGTGATTTAAAAAGAATAGCTTAAAAATTATAAGATGTAGCTTACTGGTAAGTGGTGCTATGGTGAGCTATTTATAGAACAGGCTACCTGGTTTGGTGACCCCTGGTTTGTACAGTGCATGTCTATATCAGGGCTGGCCAAACTTTTTCATATAATTGGTCAGAAACCAAATATTATTATGAGCAGTGGGCCGAAGAAAAATAAAAAACTATATTACATTAAAGTTGCCTTGGATAATTTCCTAATTTATTTTGTAATATTTAAAAATAAATAACAAAACATTACTTTAAATGACATTAATTGTATTAACTAATGCAGTATAACTTTTAAAATTATAAGCATAACAGTGAACAGTGGAGTTCAATGCTGAATACACTATTCAAGCATCTGCCTTTGCATTGATTTGCTCCCTAAAGTCTCTGCATTGTCCTCCATTCACCAGTTGACAGTATACGTACATTTAAACTAAATCTGATGTATTTACAATATTTAATCGAAAGATTTAATTTCAGTTAGCTTTTAACAATAAAACAAACAAACAAAAGGTTGCATTAGATTTGAAATGACGATCTCTAAACCATCTCCATCATTCTTTCTCTCTTCTGGGAGATTTAAATCAAAGGTTACCATGGATCAATTTTGGCCTGAGGGCCCTAGTTTGGCCACCTCTGGTCTATACACAGTACATATAGTCAGCACCTTTTATCAAAATTGCCCTAAAACTACTGAACAACACAAATTCTTGTCTTATTCATGTAATTTGTGAAAAACATTTTTGATTCATTTCAAATGCTGACTACTGTGTATAACCATATATACTCATTTTAGTTATAGCAAAGTCCCTTCAAGGCAACTCATTTCACTCGGCGGCCATCTTTAAAACACCTCTTGGGCAGTATGCTTGGGCATTCCGTCTGAATGGGGAAACATCAAACTCTCCAAAACGGCTTGCCAGGCTTACCATTGACGTTCATATTAGGAATCACAAATAAAATGAAACAACAACAACTTTCCCTTTAGTTTCATTTCTAAACATCCAAATCACACAAAATATACAGAAACTCACTTCTGGTCTGAGCCCCTCCCATGGAGTATCGTCAATCTATAGCGATCGATGATTGGCTCCTGTACTAGAAGGCAGGCTTTATTCACCAAATAGTAATTGATTGTTACACTTTTCCCCATTCAAAAAGATACGAGTGACACATTTTGTGTATTCTATAGTCTTTAGTTGTAGAACTGCTCTATTCTGAACTTTGATTAGTTAGAATCAGATCTTAATACATTAATAAACATAAAATAATTTTTAAACCCAAATAAAATTCTAAGATCTGATCCAAGAAAACCATAATTGACCACTACTGCTTGCATGATTGTAGCCTGTATTAAGTTATTGATTTTTACTCTTTGTGTCGACATGTGGATTGTTTAAAGATGGCATATGCATTGTCATGTGTGGAGTGATCAAATGCAACATAATCTTCTTGTACATAACTGTGCACGATGTTTAACACTTTTTTTGTTTACATTGTTCGTGTTACACATGTGCCGTGTACTCAGTGGTGTAAAGTTACAAATTACAAATACTCAAATTACTGTAACTAAGTAGTTTTTCTCAGAAATTGTAATTTACTAAGTAGTTTTCTAAATTCGTACTTTTACTTTCCCTTGAGTACATTTTTAGTGCTGTATCGCTACTTTTACTCCACATCTTTCCTTCACCCTGCAGTCACTACTTTATTTTTTCTTGTCTATGGGGGTTAGAACAATCAGTCGTGTGATTCCTGCTCAATCAAATCGCACATAGAAGGTAAATCACTTCAGCATGAGCTACCTCAGGACATGGCCAATTTATAATCGCAGCAAACTGTACGGAAGCGTTAAAACTGTCTCAGATGTCCAAAATCTTTACACACATTGACCCAGAGACTGTTTAGATGCATGTCATACTGTAATATGACCATAATGGCCTTAAACACCCAGCAGGCACAAGGCGCCAACATGGCGTCAGATTGACGTTGTACCCCAACGTCGTGGGGGTCGTTGCATTTTGTTTGGAAATGAAAATCGGGTTGACATCAGAACCCGACGTCAGGCCAAAGTCAATGTCCAACGTCAAACCTAAAATCAACATCTAATGATGTTACAGCTTGAAGCTGTGTAGATGCTACCAGTATGACATCTATCATTGGATTTTGGTTGCCATACCTGACGAATAAATGTCAGTATTTGACGTCAATATAATGTTGGTTTAAGATGTTGGCTCGACATTGGATTTTGCTAACTTTCTAACACAACCTAAAATCAATCAAATATCAATGTCATTTAACGTCGTTATTGGACATCAAAATAACGTCCTTAGACGCTGGATGGACATTTTGGTCACCTGATGTCACAACCTAAATCTAAGCTAATATTAACGTCTTATGATGTAGTGTGCCTGCTGGGCAGTAACTAAATGTACTACAGAATGTTACGTTTACACACATCCACAAATTACATGTAACTGCATCAACTTTTTACAGCGTAATACTCACTACTCTTGAGTACTTTTGAAAGGTCTACTTTTTACTCATTGAGTAGTATTTACAACAGATACTTTTACTCTACTTGCAGTACATTTTTAGGCAAGTAATGGTACTTTTACTTACGTATGATTCTTCAGAACTCTTTCCACCACTGTGTGTACTTGCTAGTAATAACACTAAGTTACAGTACAGGCATGCATTATATAGTTAGTACAAGTAGACAATTAATATCAGTCCTTAAATGTATAGTTACACCCCAACAAGGATACCATAAAATAAAGTGTAACCACACAATGTTATGGTAAGATTAATTATGCCCTCAAGTTAAATTTATATACCAAACAATAAGAAAACACTTTGGCATACTTGGTTGTCACGGACCACCTAAAATTAAGTTTAGCATGAAATTACATTAAATTCTGTCAGAAATGTGTTGTTGGATAAATTATAGTAGCAATAATAATTATAATTTTTTTTGTTTTTATTATTATTTTTTGTTGACCCAATAATTAATTCATTTCTAAAAATGTTCTCTAAATGGTCATTGTAAGTCTAAAATTCAGTTTACTCAATAGACCGGTCTATGGGTGTAATTTGTGATTTTCAGTGCTCCAGAAATGAAAAAAGACCTTTATTTGAGTCATTCCAGAGCATGTAAACCCATTCTAAGACACACAATGATGCTTAAAGGTGTTGTATGTCAGTAGTTTGCATTATTCCACAGTTTCAAACGGTTTATTTTCATCTTAACTGCTTTCATACTTTTTTAAGTATGGCAATAAATGTCATGTAAAATGGCATTCAAACTCACATTGTTAGCATTTAGCACTGAATAAAGCACATATAGGTGTACCTGAGATGATACAGTGTGTCCTGTTGTTCAGCTGCAAGAAATAGAAGCTGTTTCTAATATATAAATTTAAAGCGTTGGTTAGAACAAAAGCTGCTTGTAATATAGAAAATATTCCCTTTATCGTGTGCTGTTACTTTCATTCAGAACTCGATTTAAGTAAGACTCGTTCCTCAATCTGGCAACCTGGTTGCGATTGTTTTGATCTAGGAATGCAGTACCTAGTTTAACCACTGGGTGTCAAACTTACACACTGCACCTTTAAGTGTTATTTATTTATTTATTTTATTTTATTTTTTTCATTTTCAGGCAAGATTTATTTCTCTATGTTGTCAACAACATCTCCTGTTCTACTTGATGCAGTTGTCTGCTGAGCTTCTAGGCTAATGGGAAATGATGTGGCACTAGGGGGGGCTTATCCTTGATAAAGACGTGAATTAGGGAGGATTGATAACGTCATCATAGGCTCTGCTTTAGGTGGCCTAGACAGCCGGAGACCCAGTGGGGGTGCTGTTTTGGGGGAAGGGGGTGTTTGAGTGAGTGGATCATCATCAGTGTCAAAGAACTGAGAAAAAAGGGTCAACGCTGATTGAATGTCACTACATGATATGATTATAGCCTAGTTGATTTTAAACATGGCGTATTGGCAAGTGTTTGAAAAGGTTTTCAGAATGTGGGATTCAGGCTGCTATATATATAAGTCTCACTTCATTTCAGATGCTTACCAAGAATTGTTAAGAGATGTATTTACATTTTTGGAATATATTATAAAAAATGGTTTTTAATATTTTAATAATATTTAATATCAGAAATGCTGGATTTTATTTCAGTATAAAGTCAGTACTGTATTGTGTAACACTTACAGTTTATATTATTTTATTCTTATGTTGTATTAATTTCTACAAAACGATTCTTCCTTTTCCTATATTATTGCTCTTTTGCTGATTTTGAGTTGTCAGCTAACACTTTAGTCATTCAATAGTATCATCTTAAGATTTATGTTTTTATGTCAATACTTCTCTTACTAGAAACATACAAAAAAAAAATTATATATATATATATATATATATATATATATATATATATATATATTTATATTTATATATATACACACACACACAAATGAGAAAGGAAATAATTGAGATCTACCAGTCTGGAAAATGTCTACAAATGTCATAAACATGGAACAGTGGAGAACCTTCCCAGGACTGGCCGACCAACCAAAATAACCTCAAGAGTGCAGTGACAACTCATTAAAGAGGTCACAAATGACCCCACAACAACATCCAAGTAACTGCAGGCCTCACTTGCCTCTGTTAAGGTGAGTGTTCAATAGCCATGGGATGTTTCAAGGTTTACCGCAGTTTGGAAAAGTCAAGATTTAAAAAAAAAAAAAAAATGTTATACCGTTGTATATGTAAGGTTTTATTTCTTTTTTTAAATTTATTATATATATATAAATAGCCCATGATTCTGGAAACATTTGTAAAACAAATAATTTATAAATCAATATACAATCGACAACAACAGTGTCTAATGAAGACAGCAGAAGTCAATTATTATATATTATGTCCAATAAGGGAAAAAGTTGTTGTCTTTTACACAGACTTTTAAAAAGAACATATTTTAGAGTAGTGACCATAATACCGTGAAACCACGATACTTTTTATCCAAGGTTATTATACGGTCAGAATCTTATACTGGCCCATGCCTAGTGTTCATGACTTCACCATAAGATAAATAATCGGCAGAGTTCAAAAACGAAAACCACTACTAAGCAAAGAGAACATAAAGGCTTGCCTTATTCCAGAAACAACTTGACGATTCCTAATACTAATGGTAAAATACCCTGAGGACTGATAAGAAAAAAAAAGACATTTTTGGAAGATGCGTGTCCCATTATATGTGGCATAAAGGTGACATCACATTTCAGAAAAGGGGAGAGGGGTCTGGATGTGGATTTAGTGCAGTTGCAAGGTGAACTGCATGCAACAGTTTTAATGTGCACACCTAACCCTACGCCTCACAGTGGCGTAGGGTTACGCCACTAGCTCCATTGAGTGCATTGTGTCTGACATTGCAAGTCTGAGATATGCAGTCTCAGCTTGCAAATCCAAGTCTGCATCCAGATACTATATTAAAATATGTAACCATGAATTCTGCTGTGTACCAGAATATCCTGAATGAGAATGTCCGGCCATCTGTTAGTGACCTCAAGCTGAAGCGAACTTGGGTTCTACAGCAGGACAATGATCCAAAGCACTTTGGCCTAGTCAAAGACCTGACCTGATGCTGTGACATGACTTTAAAAAAATGCAGTTCATGTTTAAAAACCCTCCAGTGTGTCTGAATTACAGCAATGCTGCAAGGATCAATGGTTCAAAATTCCTTCACAGCGCTCTGACAGACTCATTGCAACTTTTTTAAAAATGCTTGACTGCAGTTGTTGCTGCTAAGGGTGGCCCAAAAAATTATTTAATTTAGCAGACAAACACTTTTTCACATGGAGCTATGTAGTTTTTTATTTTGTTATCCTTTTTATTAATAACATCCCTAGTTTAAAAACTGCATGTGCTTACTTGTGTTATCTTTAAATTATATTTAAATACTAATATTTAAATTTGTCTGATCTGAAACATTAAAAAAAATATAGGGTATGAATAATTTCGACCTTGACTGCATATATGCATTTGTATATTACAGTAAAAATCATTTAATATTTATTTAATATAGGCATGCACAATCAAAATAGTTAATTCGCTCACATTCACCAGCTGATTTTTTATTTATTTATTTTGTATTTTTTTGGCAGAGCACACTATATGATGCAGATGATGAGTGAATCTGTAATAATGTTCAGTCTATGTCTGCTGACGTGGCTCTGGAGACAGTCTGCCTTTGCCATCTGGCTGCCTCAGGCTGGATGCAGTCACCATAGCAACAAGCACCTTCCTAATGAAAGCCTTTCTCCCCCACCCACTGTAAACAAAGCCCAACCCCTGGACTGTGCAGACTCCTGACACCACTCCGCACCGCCTTCCGTTCACTCATTTCATCGAAGACATAGACTCCTTCTACTTGAATACAATTACAATTCTGAATTGAAACAAGAGGACCAGTTATCTCTTAGGGTGTATGCTAATATGGCTCCTCCCCTTGGGAATGTATTATGGTTTTAAATATGTCTAAATTAATCCCACTTTTTATTAATTTTATCACATCCTAATAAAGATTCAGTTAGTTTTTTTAGTTAGTGTCTCAAAATGCATTGCTGTGATTGCAGTGCTTCACAGTGGTCTTACGTTCCTGGAAGAATTGCTTTTGAAGAAATCAATTGAGGCGGTTCATCTGTGGCGACCCCAGATAAGGGAGTAAGTCGAAGAAAGAGAGTGAATCAAATGAGTCTTTTAAGTGAACGATTCGTTGGGGTTCATTTACAGCCATCAAATCACATTTTTTTTCTACCAATGGGCACAGCTAGTGTTCTTCAGCCAGCAATAAAGTTTTAGTGAAAGGTTAATGAGACTATTTTTTTTATTTTATAGGGTTCCATTTACAGCAACGACATCATGTTATTAAAATACAATTAGGTAAACAAACTTAAACATTCATTTAGTTGTTCAACCTTCAAACAAGATGAAAGACCTTGTAAATTCTAGCGCATTCAGTGCAGAATCTCCATTGAAAATACTAGGGTAAAAAAAAATTATATTTTAAAGAGATGGTGTGAATTTTTTTATTTATTTAATGCAGTGCTTCTTGTCCAGTCTGAGACCCACTTTATATTGTATGTCTATCAGGCAGTAAAGATTACTTATTTTTAAAGAAAACAGATCTTAAACTTGGCGATTTTGTAATAGAAAATTACTTAAATGTCTGAAAATTGAAAGTCTGAGTGCATATACCCTATTGCTCTATCTTTTTCATAGCAGGAAAAATATATTGTCTTTCCAAAACGTATCAGTTATAGGACTAATAATAGATAAATAATTAAATATCCAGCTGTTCTTTTGAGTGTATACATTTTTTTAAGGTATGCTAGCAATTTCTGCATTTATTTCTTCCTTTCGATAAAAGTAACCATGTAACCAGTTGCTTTTTTGTTAGAAAAGACAGATAGAGACTTAAAATAATTCTTCATTCATTTATTCATTAATTCATTCATTCAATCAATTTTTTTTGGCACAGAAATGCCAACTGACTCAGCCGGGGCTTATGTACAAAAAGATATTTGCAAGGGAGTTACAGACTCAAAAGATTCGAGTCATCAGGATGAACCCCACTACCAGTGAATCATCCCGATTCAGATCAGCATGTAACATTTTAAATAATTACTTATTCTAAAATCCAAACCCTTATTGGCTGTTTTAGCTCCTCCTAATCCACCTTTGTCCAATGAGCGAAGGTCTTTGAATTGGAATACGCCCACAATCTCAGCTCACTGTCCCCTCCTTGCCGACTCTCCCATTCGGAGAAAAGGACTGCAGTTTTTTTATGAAAACAAAAAACAAATACCGTGAAACCCGGATTATTTATCGGACGATGACAATGAAGAACGCTTTCTCCCGTTAAATATGCTGACTCTTCTCTAAACCCGGCCCACATTTCACGTGAGTGCACTTGTTTCTTACCGTCGCCTCTTCCCAAATTAGACACATTTTGTCATTGCGGCGAATGCGCTGATACATATGTTGAATAATTCATTGACATTTTTACTGGAAACACGCATCTTTGTGCCTTGACTGCTGAAATCAGCCCTGTTTTTTCTGTAAATACTACCCTCGACTGTTATGGTGTTTCAGTGTCCACCATCAGAGGATGTGAGGAAGTCTTAAAATATCTGCAGGATGTCGATTCCCCTTTATGTCATGGGTCTGTGCTTTAGGTCAGCGTGTTTGACAGTAACTGTGACTGTTTTCATCTTCCATTGTTTCACTTTGCATACAGGATGAATGTCATCGCATTACGTATTTTTTGCACTTTTTATAGCTTTTTGTGTCTTTAGGTTATGGCCACTCCTGCTAACAGCTGTCTCTATATAGTTTATGATATATAAGTACATCCCTCACAAGTCTATCTTTTAAATTCAAATTTCAATAGGAAGCTAAACAATATTATAATTGTGCATAGTACATTAGATTAGTCAGTACTGAAAGCAATTCGGGAACTTATCTAACAAAATAACTTACGATAGCGGTCCAAAAACTAATATACCCAAATGTATATTTTATAGAAAAATATTAAATGCATATTTAAAAAAGGAAAAATCAAGTGAAGCAAATTTGTTTTTTAAATATTTAGTTGAAATTTTGTAGGTTGTAATTTATTTTTGCAATATTTTGCTTGAATTTAGTTGAATTCTTTCAATTTAAACTAAAATTTTATTTTAAAAAATATGTTTTTAATAATCTGTTTAATAAATCTGTTTTGTTAAAATGAACCAAAATACTTTGCCTATATTCACTGAGAAATGGATAAAAATATTACATTTTACAATGTGGTGTACTCCATTATGCTGAGCAATGTATATATTAACAAACTATATAATATATATTACTTTGTGTGTGTGTTTGTATAGTTTTATGGTGTTGTGATAATATATGGTGATAGATCATCTAAATTATATATTGAGAATATTTTATTTTATGGACAACATAAATATAAGTGGTCCATAACATTAAAACTGTTTTTAGTTTTTAATAAAAACATCTGTCATTATGCCTGGGCCAGTATAAGATTCTGTTGTTATGATATCCTTGGATTAAATTATCAAGGTTTTCACGGTATTGTGATTACTGCTCTAAAATAAGTTTTTTTTTCTTTAAATGTCTGGGGGGAGGGTGACGCAGTGGGTAGCACGTTCGCCTCACAGCAAGAAGGTCGCTGGTTCGATTCTCGGCTCAGTTGGCGTTTCTGTGTGGAGTTTGCATGTTCTCCCTGCGTTCGCGTGGGTTTCCTCCGGGTGCTCCGGTTTCCCCCACAGTCCAAAGACATGCGGTACAGGTGAATTGGGTAGGCTAAATTGTCCGTAGTGTATGAGTGTGTGTGTGTATGGTTCCCAGAGATGGGTTGTGGCTGGAAGGGCATCCGCTGCGTAAAAACTTGCTGGATAAGTTGGCGGTTCATTCCGCTGTGGCGACCCCGGATTAATAAAGGGACTAAGCCGACAAGAAAATGAAATGAAATGAAATGTCTGGGTGGGGGGGGATTCCTTTTGAACACAGTATGGAGAAACATTTAAAATATATTTGAACTGTAAACATGTCAGGCTAAATAATTCAAATAAATCATTTAAACATGTGATGAGATAATGATTTAAATGAATTATTAGCTATGTTTCCGTCCACCTATTTTTTATGCACATTTTCGATATGCTCATAAAAGATTGGACACAACTGCACACAATTAAAAAATGCACATAACGGAGTATGATAAACTTTTTAATCTATAAGAAAAATGCACATAAACTACGATGGAAACACTTTTACCGAACAAATTCCAGTATGCGCATTAAAAAATGTTTGATCATATTATGATAAAAAAAGAGTGTGAATGAACAAACCAGCAGGCTGAGCACATTGTAAAACATCCAAAAAGTTGTTTTGGTCAATCTAAAATGCCATAAGCATTTCAGTATTGGTGTTATTATATTATTAATTACCCCCATAACTGTCAAGAGCCTCGGTGCTCCACATCTCACAAACGTCACCACACGTTCATTGTGTTATGGCATTTGCCTACTGAGGTGCAAGTCATTTATTAAATGAAGAAAAGATTCACGCAGCTTCACCTAATGCCGCAAATTAAATTTTTACTGTTGATATTTGACGCCAGTTTATCAGGAAGTAACTTATTGGATGAAAACGCTGCTTTATTTGCAACATAGCTACTGACATAGCCACTGACTTATGCTGCCTTTATGAGTTTCAAAAACACAGGTCTCTTTACAATTTAAAACGGCATCTTTTAACAACTTTTTTTGCTGGAGATACTGTTGTCCTAAAAAACAAAACAAAAACACGTAATAAAAAAATCTTACATATAGTGTAGGAACAGCATAACAAAAAGTTTTAGCGGTTTTAAAACCTTGACTTGTTCAAATCACGGTATACCTTAAAAATGGTTATCATCCCATGTCTATCTGTCATTTATCTGTCAAAAATTATGGTTATTTATCAGTATTGGCTTAATAATCATCTGACAACAAAGAAATAATGCATTTCACTATTTTAATAGTAATATTATCATGATCTCTAAGCAAAGGCATGAAGTGCATGTCTATGGCAAAGCACAGTGAAACAACTCTTTAGTTCTGCCCACTCCTATAAAGGACCACAAATGATGTTATCAAGTTTGTCTCAAAATGCTGAGTATTTTTGTATAAATGCAGTTTTCTCAAAGTATGTTGCATATAACGTTTCTGTAGATGCAACCAACAATTTATTTAGTAATTTTCTTTTTGGCTTAGTCCCTTTATTTTTCAGTGGTTGCCACAGTGAAATGAACCGCCATCTTATCCAGCATATGTTTTGCAGCAGCGCATGCCCTTACAGCTGCAACCCATCACTGGAAAACCAACTATTTAAAATCACATTTTGTTCAAATTATTTTAAATTTCTCAACAGTCGTTAATTCGATGTGTCATTTGCAATGCTTCATGTAGTACTTTCCATTAAGTACGCTACATTTGTAATGTAATCTTCTTGTTGCTGGTTTGGTTCATGGCTTAAAATTCTTTTACTTGAATTATTCTTAATCTCCTTATGTGACAAATGAATGGGAGCATATTTCCAGAACCAACAAGACTGAGAAAATCATTGTATGTTTATATTAATAAACTTTAAATTCAGCATTTAATAGACATTATTCACAGATGCTACTAAAAAGTCAGTGCAGCATGACTGTTCATCCAAATGTCTCTGCATCATTTGTGTTCCCTTAAAAGTCTGCCTTTAATGGCCTTTTTCAACCAATTTCCTCCTTCATGCAATGCTGCTCATGCGTGACATACTTTTCACTAGAGAAACAGACCAAATTTAAGCCATTTTCAGTGTTGCATGCCTCAGTTCTTTAATGTTTTTTTCCAGTTTGTCAGTGTGAGTAAATAACAGTTTACATAATTTATTTGGTATGAAAGCAATGGAAGACATAATTGGAGTTGTTTTTAAAAAATGACAGGTTTGTTAATGAGCGAGGCGGTGTAATTATGCTGTGTTAATGCATGCTGTGTCTAAAATCATCGACCATTTAATGTAAACTACTGTACCTGAAAACAATTTACTGCTCTTATATATTTCTCATCTTGTCTAGGCGTTTATAGATTTTTAGTCTGCATAAGCTCGGATCTCACCAAGGAGGATGGCTATAGTCATAACAAGGAAGATATGGTTATAAAATTAGTTCCAAATATAAAAGAACAGCAAAGTTTACTTACAACAATAGCTATAGCAACACTGAGAAACTATATATTTTTTTCCATCTGATTAACAATAGAGGCATTGACAGCCAATCTGAATTGATCCTGTTTTAAAGAGTTCAAACACTTAAAGTGACAGATTGCACTGTGAATGCATAATTAACAGAATGGTATTGCCCAGTGGTGTGAATGCTAATGGTGCTTTTCCACTTTACGTACACTGACCAGCCACTTTATTAGGTACACCTTACTAGTACCAGGCTGGACCCCTGTTTTATTCAAAACTGCCTTAATTTTTTTGGTCTGATAACATATCGCAGTTGCTGCAGATTTGTCAGCTGCACATCCATAATGAGAATCTCCTCTTCCACCACATCACAAAGGTGCTCTGTTGGATTGAGATCTGGTGACTGTGGAGGCCATTTGAGTACAGTGAACTCATTGTCATGTTCAAGAAACCAGTCTGAGATGATTCAAGCTTTATGACATGCCGCTCACATTTTCTCTTTTTTTGACCGTCCTCTGTAAACCCTAGAGTTGGCTTTGTGTGAAAATCCCAGTAGTTCAGCAGTTTCTGAAATACTCAGACCAGCTCGTCTGGCACCAACAACCATGCCACGTTCAAAGTCTCTTGTATTACATTTCTTCCCCATTCTGATGCTCAGTTTGAAATGCAGCAGATCATCTCGATTATGTCTAAATGTATCGTTGCTGCCATGTGATTGACTGATTAAAAATTTGAGTTAACGAGCAGCTGTACCTAATAAAGTGGCCAGTGAGTGTAAAGGCTTAATATGACCTGGTTTTGAGATTTTTTTTTACTAGGTATAGTACTTAGTGCCTGGTATTTTAGTACTACCTCAGATGAGGTTCCATGACAGCTGTACCGTACTGAACCGGTAATAAAACATGATGTGTAAACACTGCAGATCAACAGTTGGCCATAGAGAATCGTCACTAACTGCGTCATTGATATTGACACCAAATCTGCTAGATTAAAAATAGTAGTTGGCAGCATTTATTTTTAATTAACTTTAATTGATTTATTTTAAGTGATTAGTAGATGAGCTGCAGTTGTTCCTCTTGTTGGTACGTGAGGAGTGGATGTGGTGACCCGGAACGGCACGGCAACTATATAAATATATTTGTAATCCTTTGAAGCAGTACAGTTGAAAAGCAAACCAAGCCAAAGTA